GTTTATGTAGAAGAAAATAATTATTTGCTGGTAAGTTGCAGCTTGTTGAAATTGTTTTGTGAGTATGTGGAAAGTGCAACAGTATGTCCCGCTCATCTGATCAGTAACAGGTTAAATGTGAAAGTGGGATGCCTTGGACAGTATTAGGCTAAAACATAGCACTACCTGAAAATCAGTCTGAATCAGTGTTGCGTGGTTACTGTCATTGTGTTTGTAGGGTGAATCTGTGAGGCCCCCCTAACCCACAGGTGAAAGAGATGGAATGTTAAATAATTCTGTAACCTAGTTGTGCTCACTTACTCCGACTTCGGTGTTCTTAAGTTTATTATACTTGAAAGGTTGTGTTGGGTTTCCATAAGCCTACAACTTGAGTTAGTCTGAACTGAAAGATTTTGAAATCTTCCAAGCTGCCAACTTCAGGTCAGGCGCTGCAGCGTAGCAACCTTCCTGCTGTCTTTTCATGCTGGAAACAAGTGTGTTGAGAAATGTGTGTTCTGCACGTATTCCTGGGAGCGTAGTGGCCTACACTTTTGTGCAGCTAATGGCATGCTGCCTGTTGAAGGTGATTTTTTTTTTTCCCCATAGTATTTGTGGGATGGAAAGAATTGTTGGCAAGTCTAAAATATTTCCCCCCCTGCAAAAGTACGTGATTTAATCTAGTTCCATAGAGGCTTTGTAAGGGAGTAGGTAGTCTTCTCCTGCACAGTTTGGCAGGACTAAATTGTCACTGACTTGTTGCCAAATGTGAATGGAGGTGGTCTTCATTGCTCAGCGGACAGATATTTATCTCACCACCCAAGCAATCTGTGATGGAACTTCCTGGCTGAGAGTCAGGTGGGATGTAAATGCAGTTACACCTAATGCTTTTCTGGAGGTGATGACAGAGCTTTCACCAGGTGTGTTTAGTGTTCTATTTGCCCGAACTATACTGATCTGGTACGTAGATGTCAGCTTTTGTACAGCTTCTGGCCGATGCTGTAGCCTTTTCTGAATGTTAGTTTTGCTTTAAGGGGAGGAGGGAGCAGAGGAAAAAAAATTGAGTCATAGTTCTTGCTTTGTGGGTTAGTATGGCATCCCCGGGTTGATGTTTGAACTCTTTCGAAGTTTAATCTTACGCTTAAGAACAGTAATCAAGTTTACTAAATTCAGTTCTCATGAGAGCCATAACAGTAAAATCAGGCTGTGGAATACAGTGCTTAGTTATTAATAACTAAATAATTCAGGACAGGGAAGACTTTCTGATCAATCACAGTAACTGCATTCCTCAAAGTCACTGGGATGTGGGATCACATAAGAGTGGGAAATCTGGAATATCTTTGGAAGAAATAACTTGTACACTGCTTTCAACGTTTGTGCTGGACTTGCTTGGATTTTTTGTAGGCTCTTAAGTATTAGAAATATGTGAAAAATTACTTTTTCAAGTGAGTGCTGGGGCTTTGAGATCATCTGTCCTGCATCTTCTGCACCATGCCTCAAGTGAGTGGATTAGTTTACAGATCATAGGTGGTGACTGATCTGTCTGTCCGTCCAGCTGCTGGCAGGCAGAGTGGCTTTTCTTTTGTGGCATTTTGGGGTCGGGGAGAGAGAGGATGTTTGCTCCCCTTTTGAGTAACAGGAACAGAAAATAAGCAGAGCTGCCTGTACTTTGGACAGAAATGGATTTCTATCAAACTGTCCTTGAGTCTTGTTCTTATTGACAAAACAGTGTCTTGCTTGATTCTTACCCTCTCCCGTTCTCCTCGCCAGTCTCATTTTCAGTGCAAGATTTGCATTTGCAGTACTTGCTGGTTCCCTCTTTATACGTGTGCTATTCTTCTTGTAACCTGCCATATGTACTGCCTGAATCTGAATTTCTGGGAATGCTATGAAGAGGAAAGACTGTGGCTATAAGCCTGTAGCATGCCATCTTGGGCACTTGAAAGTGGATGAATATCCTGAGACTTTCTGGGAGTCAACAGGCTGTATGTTTAAAATCCCTTTCTATTATCAGGCTCTAACTTCTAATTTCTGTAGCAATGGAAGGGTCTTCAGATTTATGTTTCTTTATCCCCTTGCAGAGTAATTTTTCAGATCATCCTCAAGTAGATCTAGGGCTTTGCAATTACTCTAGTAGTTAGGAAAACCACCTGTGACATGAAACTTAAATGGTTGTGGATGGTTTCACCGCTTCCTGCAGAGCTCTGGAAAAACGTGTGTCACACAAACTTGAGTATTCTGCTTGACAGATGGGAAGAGTAGCAGAAGTACTAGAATTGTCTGAAGTGTCAGGTGACAGCACCTGGTTTTTCTGTATCCTCATAATACCTAGAATTGGTGATTTTATCAATTGCTGTTCTTTTGCAGGGCAGCACGGAGAGATTCTTCCCAGAAGCTAGGACCTTTCTCTTGAAAGCTGAATTCTGCAGATATTGACATTTGAGTCCTGCTGTGCCTAGCAAAGAAGCTTCGTATTTAAAAGTGTTTTGGTATTGCACCATTTTTAAAGGTCTTAAAGATAGAGGAGGACAGAAGTGCAAGGTATAGGAAAGCATGTATCCCTCACACAGCTTTGTGGGTCTTTTTCTTGGCTTTACCGTTGCATTTTGTAGCTCAGGTTTGTGCTGTGTCCTTTAAAGTGTTTGTTGGAGAGCTTGGTTTTGGGGAAATTAAGTGCAGAAACAGTTCTGTGGTAGTGGTGCTTTTTTCCAGTGTATTTTAGGGCTTACTAAAATAGATGTTTGGTTTAGGAAAAAAAAAGGAAGAAAATGAAGACTGAGATACAGCGGGACAAAAGCAGTGACTAGCAGTACATTACTCAAGGTCATTTAGTCAGATAAGGGCTAGGTCTGCTTACTTTTGCTGTGTTCTAACTTTTGTGCTTATCTCCCTGCTGAAGCTATAGTAAAAACTGAGGTTCCCATTTTAAATTGAATCTAAGAGTTAAAATGTTTGTTAACTGCTATATCTACTTAAAAAGCTCAACTCCTAATTTTGCAGGGTATTTTTTCCTGCTGTAGTGAGGTGGTGTGTTGTCTGTTTGTAATCCGGTGGCAGCTGGGAGGCTTTAGAGATAAGGGTGCAAGTTTAAATAAAGGAGGAAAAAAAAAAGGAGGAAAATATCCCAAAAGCTGATAATGTAAAAATTGCTTTGACTCTCTTATTTTGCCCTTTACTTGGAGGATATTGTGCCAGGGTGATAATTGTGTGCTAAGCACAAGTAGGGGTTTGCAGAGCTCTGGTTCTGGGAGCAGACAGCCTTGGTGGTGTTGATCTGTTCATGTGCACGTTTGTGCTTCATGCTAGCTTCCTTTTGTAGGCCAGCTTCTGCTATCCACAGACTATTTTCTTTCTTTCCCTTGAGCGTGTGGTGTGTGATTTCAGCTCCAAACTATCAGCTAGCAGTTTCCACAGCTTACAGATTTTTTTCAAGTAACTAACTACTAACAGAGAGTTCATGAAGGGCATGCTGAAATCAAACATTCCAAAACGTGCCAGCGTATGTTATACCTGACACTGTTCCTTTTGGCATACCTAGTAAGTTATTATCTGAAAGCTGTTAATAGATTGTTATAAAATGTATTTTCAGCACTGAAGTAGTCAGGAAACATCTATGCTCTTTGTACCTTGATTAAAATCCTCTACATACCAAAAGTAAGGGGAACGCACGTGGGGAAAGGGCTGGAACCATGGATGCAGTACAGTTTTCAACAAAAAAAGCAAAGCATCACTTGGCACTCCCTAGTATGGAGTGGGCAAGGTGTGCTAATGCTTTCAGAATCAGATTTCTATGGGCTTATTAGTTTTTGGAGACGTTGATATGGAAGGTGCTTAGCAGCAAAGCTTCACTACATGATCACTGTGCTGGTCCTGCAGGAAGATTTTATTCTCTAGCTCCTCAGTTTCTGGTACAACAAAGGTGTTGACTTTCTAAAAGGACAGGACAGAATGAGAAGAAAACAGTCAAAACTTGGAGCCCTTCTCATGCAAGGCATTGAAGAGAATATTTTCTATTCTCTTTCTAAAAGCAGTGCCCTCAATCTTTCAAGATTATTTCAAATAGCTTTTTTCCAGTACCCTGTGGTTCTGAATCTTGGGCAGTTGTTTATTCTGCTGCAGCAGCCGATAGTGTCAACAACCAGAGTTACTGTAGATGTCTTTCTGTTGCAGTAAAACTCAAATTTTAGAAACGCTTTTAGTTATACTTGTCATTTGCCCTTGTCTTCATTTGAAACATATCTGTGGAAAATGCTCTTTCATCTGTTACTGCTGCTTATTCTCTGGTGAAATCCCAGTTATAATAGAGTGAGATCAGACTCCTGGTAAAGATCCTATTCAGTTATTTTCCTTTTGCTGGAAAAGGAAGCAAATGCTGTAGAACACACCGTGCTTTATATTTGTTGTGTCACTACTTTATTCTGCACTTGCTTATTATAGCAAAGTACTTGTGTAGGCAAGGGGTGCTGTGAGACTGCAGTTTGCCTGTCCCCGAGGCGGGTATTAACTTGGGTGCAGCACCAAAGTAACGCACCTGTGTGTTTCTGGAGTGGGCTTACATCGGGTAGCTTGGAGAGCAGGTGAAAGAGCTCATGTCTGTCAGGATCCACCTGTATAGATGTCTCCCACGTGTCATTAGAGACGAGCTTAACCTTTCACTTTTGTTAAGTGATGTTTAGGTGTCTCACTCGCCTGTTTATTTGCTTACCTTAGTCCCCTTAGCGTGATACCTGACTGTCTCCTCTTTCCTAAAATATCCTCCTTGCACCCTGGCTTGGCAGGGAGTGGCGGTTACCCCTCTGTAAGGGACGGAAACAGGGACACAGGCAGCGTTACGCATGTTCGTGCTGTATTGACCGCTGCAGGAAATTGAAACTAATTCTGGACTAATAGCTTGCCCACTGGCTTATTCTTTGTACAGTAAACACAGAGTGATCCAGTCTCTTTGACAAGGAGTTCCTAAGCCTGTCCTTGTGCTACGTGTTTTCACATTCTTCTCCCTCCGCTCCCCTCTCTGATGTGCGATTATGCATTTCAATGCATCTGGATATGCATGGACACAGGAGGAACCATGTGTCCTCCTACACGGCTATGGTGGTGGCAGCTTCTCCAGGACAAAGTTGGTGAGGTAGTTTGAACTCTCCTCTTTGCAAGATTTAGCTTGTCAGCTCTCTGTTGAGTGAACAAACCTGAATATAATGTTCCAGGGAGCAAATACCTCCTTACGATCAGGAAGAGGAACTGGGTGAATGCGATCCGAATTAAACAAATATTAAAAGCAAGCAGAAAATTGTTTACTTTACAAATGAAGCACTGCTGTCTTGGAACTGTTATAAAGCTGCCTATGTAGTGAATAGCCAAGGGAAGATTGGACTGGGGTAAATGCCTTATTGGAAGAAAGAATGTTTAGCTGTGGTGGCTGAAACTTCAGGTATGCTAATCATGCTTTTATTCCCTGTTTTTATAGATTGCTGCTAAAATTGGAGATATTCCTCACTTGAATAATTCTACAACACTCGTGGACCCGTCAGTCTATGGTTATGGAGTGCAGAAACGGCCCCTGGATGACGGAGGTAAGCTGGCTATGATTAATCAGTCTTGTGGATACAGCTCCTGAAATTCACCTATGGAGGCAGTTGTCTGCTTTAAGGACAGAAATCAATGTATCTTTCTGTGTATAGAAATTTTATACAAGATTCCCTGTGCTGTTTAGTCTTACCTAGATAGCACAGGGCATTTAGGCATTAGTATTATTATTGTGAAGCAATCCTTTCTTAGTTCTTGAACATAGGGAATACCAGATGTACATAGTGAAGGTGTTCTTCACTGATGATCCTTACTTTCTGAGAGGAGACCGTGTACAGGGACAGTATTACACGTGTAGCAGTGGTAACAGCACAGTAGTTGAGTCACTGTCAAGAGTTCTGACTGCTTTGTATGTTAATTTTAAGGAGAAAAGGTATTGATGCAAGTTGGAAGGCAATTTCCCCTATTAGGCTTAGCTTTTCTCATAATTAGGCTTTGAGAATTCTTAACTCTCTGAAACATTTAACATTGGCCGCAGCCAAAGAATAATTTACTGGGTGCACCATATCTGGTAACTGTAATGAGTTAGTATTGTATGAAATGTTACAATTTTAAAATAAGTTACTAGTTTCTTATCTTTGGTGGGAACAACAAAAATGTTAGAACATGTGTTTTCTTTTTTACAAATCTAATGATGTGCACTGTTACCAGAGGTGTTTATACTGTGTTATCTGCTGCTGTATAGATGCTAAGAGCTCACCTTTTCCTGTGGTTGGTTATAAAAAACCCAAACATGGCTATGTCTTCCTTTTCCTATTTCCTTTAGTGTTTTTACTGACACAGGTAGCCCTGCAGGGTGATTCTCTTCACCACAGATATGTCAGGAGTACTGAGGAAATGAGCAAAGCTGCTGCCTAGCACTTTATTTTGAAAATATTTTTTTTCTGTCTGATATAAAGGCTGAAAATACTGCATGTCTGCTTCTCATTCTGAAAAAACGTGCTGGAGCACAGGGAGAAGTTTCTTTCCTGTGGAGCCTCTGGCTTGCTAACATTGCTGTTTTCTGAGCACATACCACAACCCACTTTGTTCTCTGGCATAGGCTCTATTTGAGCAAGAGGTTGCTGCTCCTTTGGTTTGGTGTTTAGGAAAGAATGGGTTTATTTGGGTGAGCCCCTGCACCTTGTATCTCAGGCTGGAGCATCACTATGAGAAGCCAGAAGCCTGGTATTACTGGTATGTGTTGGTTTCTGTATGGGAAGGTGTGAGGCTGTCAAGCAGGCTGTTCAGCATTGAAGAATGCTGAACGACTTTGAGCTGTGTCTGAATAGCTTAGATAAGGGGCTATATGTGAAGAAGAATAAAAGTAGCCTTCTGGGAACTAGTCATTCATAACATTAGTCCTACCTATTTCTTTCACTGATTCATCAGACTGAACTATGAAATCTGACCTCTTGACAAAATGGGTTTTTATGAACTTTTGACATGTGAAATGATTGTAGTGCCTAATGGCAGCTCGAGTTACTTAAACTTTTAGTAGTGAGCCTTATTACTTGCTGAGCCTTGTTTGTATGGACACTGTTTTTGTCAATACAGTTGCAGCCTGGGCTGTAAATGTACATTGCTGCTGGTTTCTTGTGTTGTGATAGATAACTCCATGGAGCAGGTATCGTTCCTGGGAGAGCCTTCCAGAGTGGCTGTACCCCTGCCTCTTGTGGTGTTCTGCTGATGTGAAGACCTGTGGGTGTTTGCTTACCCTGTAGTTCAGCACTGGGCCTTGTCTGTAACTGTTTTCAAAGTAGCTCCGATGCTGTATTTGCCCTTGGATTGTTCATATACATCTGTAGGTTTTGTAACTTTGATCAACTCCCTTCCCAAAAATCTGATCTGTGAGACCTTAAGAAGAAAAGAGAAATGATGGAAGTAATATTTTAAAGGGCTGGAATTTCACAATGAAACAGGAATTTTCAGGGTAGGATCAGGGGTTGTATTGCTTTGTTCAGCTTTGGTCATCTTGGGTTTTATTTCTAATGTCATTAGTAAGTCCTGTACTGAAATACAGTTGTGTAATGAGTTCCCCACCTAACCACGTCATCCTCCTGTGCTGCTCTTTAACTGCATCCCCAGAACTGCAGCCTGGGAAAGGAACTCCTGAAACTGTGAGTGCTGCTTGCTCTGTATTTCTTTGTGGTATGATCCATACCTTAGTCAGTCTTAGGCTACCTGCTCTTACTGCCATGGCATTAAAACTCAATAATGCCGCTTTAGCTTTAAGCATCTGGAAGATGACAGCTGCCTTTAATAGGACACTTATGTTGGGAAAGCACTTGCTGTTTGGATGATCTTTTTAGTTCTCCGTTAGCTGCAAGCAAGGGGTGTCGGGATTGCATACCCACACTTTTCTCCATTTTCTGCTTGTCTGTGAACCACAGCTTGGAGATGTTCTTGTCAAGAAATGATTATTTCTGTGGTGACACATGCTCTAGAAATTTTGTAGCGTGGGGGTCTGCATACATTCTGCTCTGGATAGCTTGGAAACAAACGTGGTGGTAAATCTTTTGATTGTTTACCTCGGTATACTGCGTGTTCATGGCTGGGTGCAGGTCTCACTGCTTCCTTATGCCCATCTAACTTTTAGAAAATTACTTCTGTTCCTAATGCACCTGAAAAAATTGGGTCCAGAGGAAGTATTTAAGGTGACAGGAGAACTGTCTGTTTTTCAGGAAAATCTAATTCTGCCTGTCCATTTTTGTAAAGAGCTGCTGGTGCAGCTGATTGATGTCGGCCTAGGAAGTGGTCTTAAGACAGGGTGACAGTGCACTGGTCAAAACAAATTCAGCTGCTTTTAGGGCATTTCCAGGAAAAATAGATTTGTCATAGCTTTGGAAACCAGAATGTGCAAGTTCCTTTTGCGCTTCCCTTAACCTTCATCTGGAACGGAGAGCTGCTAGGATTGGCCTTGGTGACCTGGCCTATTGGTGTTAGATGGAGCTTGAGACTGATTATATCTCTTTTCCCTGGCTGCTTTATTTCCCGTTTCTGGAAACAACTTTAAAATAATCCTACAAATAGCTATAGTGCAGGGAGGGGATGGGGTTTATTTGTACTGCTGGCAGGAAGTCGTAGTCGGCATTGATACGTCTGCTTGCAGCAGGTAGTGTTTCTCAGCGAAGGTGAGCATAGAGATGGGGTTAGTCTGAGCTGCAGAGAGACCTGGTGGCATCTTGCTTGTGGCTCGTTGATGAGGATGGATCGCAGCCCTTCTGTTAAAGGCCAACAGCTGCTCTTGGCCTCCATTCTAATTAATGTCTCCCTCTGATTACTAGCACAATTCAATAAATTTATTTAATGCTAAATAATCCTTAAAGAGGCAGCCTCCTTTAGTTCATAGGAAGCAGGGATCTAGTCTGCTGGAAAGAGACTGATCACCAGAATGTTAGCCTTTATTTGCCCTGTTTTAGACTGCTTTGAAGAATTTTCCAGTGATACACATAGGGTTAAGCAGCAGTGTTGCAGCTGAAGGCGGGGGCATCCTTTGAGTCTGGGGAAACAAAGATGAGAGACCTTGGAGAAGCCTCACATCCCCCCTCTCTCCATCCCCTGTCTTCCCCAGGCTTCTGTGGTACCTCCAGATATGAAGATGCCCTGTTTTGGTGTAATAACTTGACTGTGGTAGAGCTGAGGGGCTCAAATACAACATGCTCCTGTTGTATGGAATACTTTATTCTTTTACTCCAACATGTTTTCCATGAAAATAGTGATGGGCAGAAGGAAATCTTATCCCTGTCTTGCTGCCACTGCAAGCTAGTAGTGATGCTCCTTGACACATCTGTAGCAGCAGTAGGACCAGGGCAAAAGTGCAGATCTCTCAGCAAAAGATTTAGTGTAATACACGAAATGCCAATGTTCTTCAAAATTGCAACTTTACAGATGACCATTTTTTAAATAAGGCAGTCTAAGGGAGGGGAAAAAAGCCTATAAAGATTTGCAGTGAAGGCAGACATGAAAATTATTAGGTTTTGACCATTTAATTAAAGAAAAACCTAGCAATATTTAATGATAAAGAATTAGAGTATCCAATGTCTTCGTTGTAGCTTTCTAAAATTTATGATAGTCCCATTTTTGTTCAAAAGTATGAAATGCAGCCCCGTTCCACTGCTTTCCAGGAGATGCGTCGCTCTGATTTTAGTCTAGCCATGAAGATATTCTTGACGAGATTGTATATTCCTATCATGCACATTAATTTAGTGGGAGGCGCTGCTCTGTTTTATGGGGCGGAAAAAAAAATCCGCATTTGTTTTGAGTGTCTGTTAGGTAGAATTCAGTTAAGGTGAAGCCGAAAGCAGAGTGAAGAGTTATCAGCCAGCAGGTGCCATTAATAGGAAATTGTGCTTATTTTATTCAGTATTTTTCCTTATTTGCAGTAAAATGACTGCAGTTACAGTTAAATTGTACTCAATAGATGTAAAAGGGGGAAATATGTACGTGGCTTGTCAGAGTTCAGCCCCCTCCCTGGTGTGAAGAGGGAGATGGTGGAACAGTACATCAGCTTTCAGTATTGCAGCAAGCGTGCGCTGCCCCAGCCCTGCCTCTCTATTAGTCGCTGTCTTTCAGAGCGAAATGGGCCTGTTGGAGAAGGAACGTACCTTTAGGTTGTTGGAACCGGGAGCCACGTAGTTTCTTTTTTCCCCCAAAACGGAGAGAAATTGTAACTGACTTCAAGTAAATCACTCCCAGTTGTCTCCATCTGTCTTCTGTCTTAACTCTTGGGGAGATCATCTGTGAAATGTGGACGGAATGATCTTGCACATAAGTTATTGCGACTTAATTTTTTTCAAGTAATTTGTACAATAAATATACAGTACGGCTGATATCTGCCTGGGGTGATGAATGGCTTATGTTTGTATAGTACTTGGAATGGGTTGGAGGCATTATGTTACATACATCTCAAGCAATATTTCCCTGACTGATTTAAGTTCTTGTGCTGCTACAGTTTTCCCCTAAGCAGCTGGTTTTTTCAAGTGTAGGATTGTGTTACAAAATGAAGGCTCTTCCGTTCCTTGCGTGAACTTCAGGAGTTGATTATAGGATGTGTATCTGTCTCATAATTTGTGGGCAGCGGCTGCAGTGGAACAGACTGCTAAGAGAGCTGTTACGGTGAATTGAAATGCGAAGTGGGTATTTAAATACAGCCTTGTAGTGTTAAGACCACTCTTTCTGGCGTCTTGGGATGATGAGTGGCCTGGTTTGTGGCAAGGGCAATCCCGTACTACAGCAATAGCCACCAGACCTATTGCATGTAGTAAAAGTATTCGGAGCACAGTTTGGGGCAAGATGGCGAGGTTCTGAAATTGGTCGTATTTGCTCAGCTCTGCAGTAGTAGCTTATCAGCTAGAGCAAATACTCCCCATTACATCACCCGCCTTTTTCAGCTGCAGTATTGATAGTTATCAAATTAGAGCTTTTTATATTCAGGGTGAGAATATGCAAAGACAAATCTAATGGAGTCAATAACGCAGCAGTTGTCTTATTGCTGAGCTGGGGAGAGTAATAAAATATATATGCTGTCGATATTTTGGACCTGAACTATTATGAAGGTATTGACACGCAGCAGAAATACAGTATTGACTCTCTTTATCTTTTTTTGAGTAAAGTGTTTGGCCACAAACTTTATGCATTTTTCTACTGGATTTAGAGAGTGTGGGATGCATTCGCTTTCTAGCCCCGCCATCTGATTGGCAATTTATTTCAGATCAAAGAACGTGCAGGTTGCTGCAAGGTAGTTTGAAACAGCGTCTTTATTGTCACAGCTCACATGTTGGCCCGTTTCATTTGTTTTGCTGCTTGTGCCCTCCAGGCATGCAATATAATCTTTCAACTGGTTGTTAGGACCAAATGGTCTGGTTTTTAGCAGGTTTGCTGCCGGCAAAGTCCAGTAGGAAGCCCAGCAGGGCATGTGTTCCCACTTTGCATGAGTTGGTCTAATGACATTTTCCCCATTAACATTTGGAAGAAAGATCTAATCTGTTGGGGTCGGGAGGGAAAAATCTATTTGAGGGTTGTCAGCTGGGGAGATAACTGCTAATCATAAGTGGACCACCAGCTAACATCACAGATATGCCTGGAATGTCTGCGTTCAGTAAAATGTGTTGGGTTTTTTTAAAAAAACTACTGTTTGGGTGCCACAAGGTTACTTAACAGACCTATTCCTTTAACAGGTCTCCGTGTAAGTGGGCTCCATGGAGCACAGATAAGAGACACAGAGAGAAGTATGTGCAAGCGGTCGTTAATGCTTTTTGCCTAGACTTTTTGCTCTGAGTCTGCTCGGCATTTATTTTTGTTTTTTAATACATATCCGTCAGCTTGAAATTTCTCTTCTCCCCCTTCCCTCCCTCCCCTTTTTTCCTTTTTTTTTTTTTTACTAATTTGGGCTTAATTTGGGAAGCGGGGAGGTTAGTTGCAGGGATTTGGATTTGGGCAGGCAGGATTTTCTCCCATGACTCTCAGCATGGGGAGACGCGGATCAATTCCCTATCCTGTGTTCAGCTGGACACTGGGTTATGGTGTGTGTTGATCAAGAAATCCCCTCCTGTTTTGTAGCACGTAACGCATTCATTTCAGCCACTGAACCTAAATTACTGTTTTGCTTTTCTTTCTTTTTTGATGAAATGGTAAGAACTCTTTTTCTGTAGGGATGAAGTTAGTTTATCCGTGCTAATGCTTTGATTTTTTTTCCTTTTTTCTCTCTCTGCCACAGTAGGTAACCAGTTAGGGGCCCTGGTACATCAAAGGTAAGCAGTGGGTTATGTTTTATTATTTATTGATCAATTCTAATTGTTTATTGATCCACCATCTGTAGTAGTGTTAGGAAGTCAGAGGTTGAGAATGTGGAGAAACTGTCAGCTTGGGTTTTCTCCAGGCTGAGCTTTCTACTAACCCTTTAAGGTTGGTTGTCATGATGAAGAAAGAAGAGTTGATGTGAAACTTGGATTTGGTTCCTGTAAATCTGCAGGACCAAGAAGAATAAATTCTTTCTCTTCTTTTCCCTGCCCTGGCTGGGGGGAAGAAAGAAAAAGTGAAAAAAGCTCTGGCATTTTGACGAAAGTTGGAAGTATTAAATGGGCAGGTAGATTTTTTTTATTATTATTATTTTTTAGTTTTGTTGGTGTAACTTGACCTGGGACGACTCCTTTGTCAAAGATGGTTTTGGGAGACTGAAGCAATTATGAGTTGTCATGCAGCATGTCTTAGCATCTAATACAAAAGCAAAATTCTCAGTTTTTCTCGAATCCTGGTCTTGAGGAGTTGTCTGGTTTGTTTTGAGTAGGAAGGGGAGAGCATTTCTGAAGCTGGATTCACCTTTGGGCCGATAGTAGTGCATTTCTATCATAACCAGCTGTTTGTAGGGGGCCTCAGCAGAGAGGACAAGCAATATACATGAAGACCGTAGAACCTTCAGTTGTTAATGGTTAGGTTCAAGCTAATGCCTAACTGGAGCAGCGCAGAAAGGGGTACACAGTGTTGTCTCCTCTGCTGTTACCTGCCACCTCTCTTCTGCCGGGAGTGGTGTTCATGTGGGGAATTGATTAGGCTGAAAACTCTGAATTGGTTTATTTCTGGTTTTGGTGGTTTTCTGCTAGGTTAGCTTCTTTGTCTACCTGCAACCATTCCTCCAACACAGGATGGTTAACAAACAATGCAGGATAGGACGCTTTGGCAACAGGCTCGGTTTATTGCATGTTAAAACAACTGTAATTGTGAACCTCCCTGTAGCAGGTGAGTCTGTTCTGTAGGTAGGTGCCTTCACAGGTAGGAGATGGCACTGTTTGGTTTTGCATCGCTTCTGGTGACCCTCAGGACAATGGAGAGTACTTAATGTATACTGCAGCTTAGCTGGTGAAGTCTTATGTGTATTATACCTTCCCCAACTGATCTACAGCAAAAAAAATGGGAATATTTTAATATAACTCACCACAAAACCTGCATTGAACTTATTATGCAGGTATTTCATTGCTTTTGAGATTGCTGAACAAATTGGGTATAATGCGTATCTAAATATATGGAGTTTGCAAATTCCATAGTCATTGTGTTGTATTTTCTACAAGATAGAAATGGCTAAGCAAAAAACCAAAGTTAATTCCTTTCTACTTGACTATGGTCAGGTCTTAGGAAATTGCTTTGGGTGGTATGTTTTGAGGCAGAGGCACTTTGAAAAAGTCCAAAGAGCAATAGATATGGAAGTCTCGAGATAATAAGACTTCAAAGGATGATTGAAGACAGCTTTTATAAATTCCAAGGAAAAGAATGATAAGGACAAGCAGGCAAAAAAAAAAGTGAATATTAGAGGGGACATTCATATCGGGATTGGCTTTGGTTAGCATCTCTTGGCAAGAGCATATCCACAAGACTGTGGCTTGGAAGGTCTAGGCTAAATATTAAAGAAACCTCACCATTATTCTGTTAAATCTACCTGGAGCAAGAATGACAAAAAGAGGTTCTCCCAATCAGCTCCATTGAAGATAGTGGAGAGTAAACTGGAAATGTATCCAGCATAGGAGAAATTAGGTGACCACAAGAGGTCTCTTTCAAAACAAATTATTTTGACTGTGATGTGGTGTTTAGTTGTGTGTGCAAAAGCCTTATGCTCTGCCTGGCTTCCACGGCAGGGACATAGTTGTCTTCCAAGTTGTTCTTTGTAATGACTCTTTGATTTTATTTTTTTTTCTTTAGGGCTGTAATAACAGAAGAGTTCAAAGTGCCTGATAAAATGGTTGGATTTAGTAAGTACCTTGGATGCTTTTGATGTTTCTTGATGCGTTTTGTGTAAAAAAAAAGGAATGCTGTTTATTCTGACATGCTCACAAGTTTTTTTGCTTACTAGTCTTGGATAAGCCTTGTCTAATGCTGTCTTCATGGGGACCAGGTGATCTGTGTTTAAAATCCAGGTGCAAACTGCATGGAAAAACTTGGTGTCCCAGAAATAAGATGACGACTGTGTGGTGCAAGTTACTGAGAATTTTAGTGATTCTGTCTTTTAAATTCCCACTAGCATAGTACATAAACAAGTCAAAAGGGAATTTATTTCCCCTCACTGAAACATTTTACATCCTTTGAGTATGCAAAACTGTGAGAGTTGAGGGAGGAAAACAACATTTAAATGTTAAAATAAGAGTCGACTCAAGGCAAGTTAAACAGAATTTTCTCTCTCATACATTTGCTGCAGGGAAACACAACCAGCATGCATTGCTCAGATGAGAATTTTTCCTAGATTTGCATTCCTGATAGTGTTCTCTTTCAAGCTTGATCCTAATTTCTCTCTTCCTCTTGATGATCATTACTCTTCCTTTCAATGGCACCTCCTGCTGATGTGTTACTACAGCGATTGCATAGACTCTTCCAGTGCTACATCTCTGTGTATCTCTTCCAATTTGATATATGGAAAGTAAAAAGGAAAATAACAGGCCATGTTAATTACCCCTTGGTGCGTGAAGTTTTGTCCTAACTCTGAAGACACTATAAAACTGTAACTCAAATTCCTGCAAAGGAAACACTCACTCTTCTCCTGCCAGACCCCTTAATTTATTGGTCTTGGTACCACATGTAGGGGAACATTAGAGGGATTCTGTGGCTCTGTGAGAGGGGAGCTTGCGTGCTCTGTTGGCACATCATCTCTGTGTTAAATCTAATAATCCTGGCTCAGGGGCAGACAGATGCTGGAGAGTGACAAACCCACAGCTGAGAGATGCTTCTGTGGGAGCATCTTGAGCCAGGTGTACCTGTTTGACTTGACAGTTTTGCTCTTTTTGCTGTCTGGGAAGGTTATGAATGGTGATTTGCACATAGTCTGTTCTCAGTATGTCGTCTTGTGTGTGCTGACTCCAGGAGTTAAGGGAGATGGGTATTGGTTTTGACTTAGGATTGATAGAGCATTTCAGTATGTAGCAGATTCTGTCTGAGTGCAGACCAGCTAAATAGCATGTCCATTGAAAAGAGGCAGTAAAATATAAATTTTAAAGAAATAAAAGTCTTTACCTTTTTCAGTACCACAAATAACTGGGTTATTGGTTCGGACTGAACAAGATATACTTGAATGACTCTTCTAGCAGCACTCAAACTAGTGCCTTATTTCTTGCATACTATGTATTTCCATTCCAGTGCAAGACAGGCTTTTTGGTTTTGTTTTGTTTTTCCAAGCAAATAGAATAACTTCAGGCAGTATTGTAATGTTTTTCTGCTATGATAAATCTGGTCATGCTGTGGATACCTCTTCTGCAATGCTGGAGTCAAACTGTTCCTTTATAGATAGCTGCAGCAGAGCAAAAGGGGGAAGGTGCTCTGCAGTTACTTGGAAAAGTGGTATGTTCTGATGCTTGTTGACCTCATTTCAGTAATCGGCAGGGGAGGAGAACAGATCTCACGGATTCAGGCAGAGTCTGGCTGCAAAATTCAAATTGCTCCAGGTAAGAGCCTCTTTGTATGGCGGGTGAACAGATTTTAATGTTGAAGGCTGTTGTGTCCATTAGATTGGGTGCCTTGCCATGCTCGTGCCGTGTTATCGCCATTAACAACTGATACATATACACCAGGCTAACACGCATGGGAGAACTGTTGTGGGACTGACCTCCCGACTAGCACGGAAAACAGGTTTGTCAGGTGGTTTGGGGAATGAAACACAATTAAGGAACTGTGTTTAACCAACAGATGGGTACAGTGCAAATGGACAATCCATGTTGTACTTAAACCTGAAATTGCAGCTGTTTTCTCCTGGTGGTACCACTTTGCTCGGCTCTGCCGTTTGTCTCTGATTAGTCCAGTCAGCTCCAACTCCTGGCAGAAGACGTTTCAGGAGGGTGGCGGCAGCTCTTCATACAACTCGTCTTGTGTCGAAAAAATGGGACCACCTGTTTGTTCTGTGCTAGTGCCTGTTTGCTTTGAGGAAAACTGTACTGCAGTGCTGTATAGGAAACTGTTGAAGAATGTAATCTAAGTTCTTACTCCTCCCTTTAATTGGTGGGGAAGCCTTTAAAAGAATGCAGACATCCAACAAATCATTTAAAATATGTTGACCTTGGATGTCTTTGAATTCATTAGTGTGCTCTGTGTGTGGGGAGGGCGAGGGCGGTGCTTCCATTAGTGCTTGATAGTTACTGAAACAGCTGCCTTTTTTTTTTTTAATTCCATGTATTAAAACTGTCCTCGTTTCCTTTGTAGACAGTGGTGGAATGCCCGAGAGGCCCTGTGTGCTCACCGGGACGCCAGAGAGCATTGAGTGAGTTCTGATTTCATTTCTCTGCTTTTGCTTTCTCTCTCTTCTCCCTAATGCTGTGCTCTGTCAGTGGTGCTACTTGGTTAGCCACACCAGCAAATGTTGGCCTAGAGAAAGTTGAGGGTCTCTGGAGCATAGAACCTCTTGGTCTGATGCTTTAAACTGTGCACCTCAAAGGCTTTTTTCCAGTTGCAGTTTGAACCCTCTGCAGAAATTTCCGTGGAATTCCCCTCCGCAGGGCAAGGTTGCTCTTAGGGCACCTAGGATGCAGTTTTCTAACTGCAGCTTTCCAGGATACTGAGCTAAGCTGTTGAAGGGCACTTCTCTTCTCCCCTTTGCTTCCCTACTCCTATTGAGATGAACATCCTTCCAGCTGAAGAAGGGCTGCATGAGGCCTCCAAAGCCTGTCGGTGCCACTCCAGAATAATCTGGAGGTGTTGGTGTTGTTGCAGAGCAGCATGAGGCCCCTGGGTGTGCTTGCCTTTGCATCACTGCCAACAAGAAGCAAAGGACTGAACCAAAGTCTCAAATTCTGATCCCTGCATGGTAGAGACACGTGGCCAGCCAGCAGGGATTCTACTCTTTAGGCCTATAGAAACTTTAGGGACAGTGTTTCCTCCCTCCCCCTTCCCAGGAGCTGAGTTTGAGACTCTCACAAACCAGTTGAGGACCTCCTGCTGGAACTGGATCCAGGATCCTCAGGCTTACAGGAACACACTTAACATATGGAGCTGCTCTTTCTCTCCCCAGCCTTTGGGTAGGTGGGTTTTTTAAAATCCATCTGGAAATCTTTGAGTTGCGTTTGATAGTGAAAATACATGGGCGCAAAGACTGTCTCTCTAAAGAGAAGACACTCATCATTCCTAAGAGATGTAAGGCTACTTAAATCTCCTTATTCTACCATAATACTGCAAGCAGTGAGCCAGAATAAATATAACTGGCAAGCTCACATTATAGGGCAGGCATTGTATTCTTGCTTATGTTGAAGTGCTGTTCCCCCTTTAGCAAAGGATATTTCGGAACAAGAGCAAAATACTAAAAAGCTGGGGTGCCTGATGAGATGCAGTTGGGGGAAAATGAGGAAGAGGTATAGTTAAGACTTCGTGGTTCTGAAGTAAGCAGTTAAATGTAGTGATGTCCAAGGCTATCTTTAAATTAAAAAAAAAGTGAGAATACTCAATTTGTGAAGCATAACAAGGTGTTGAGGACATGGAATTAGGCGAAATTTAATTTACTCTTGTGCTAAAATTCTTGTCAAGTTGATTATTTGAACTATTTTTCAGGCTATTTGTAGAAAGAAAATTAAGTAAGGAAACCAATCTAGATGTCAGACTTCTTTGTGAAGGGTTTTGTGAGGACAATTGCCGTTAGTTATATCCAATGGCAAACTAATAGGGTTAATTTCCAAATGACCCCTTCTCATCTGACATACGTTGTGTATTAACTGTTGCAGTCTCTATATTGTCACTGAAAGAACTTTGTGTGAAATATGAAGATAAATTAATAAAACCTGTTAAGACTCTTCCAGAATATTTGAAATGGGCTTCCAGAGGTTCCACCTTTTGCCTTGTTTTGTGAGAAAGTCAAGAGAAACCGGTGCTCTGATCTGTGTGCAGCCTCAAATCAGCACCTACTGAGCTGTCTTGGGTGAACACCTGCTTGCAAGGGATGACTTTGTACTGTTTCTTCAAATCGCCAGAGAGAAGACAGTTGTCCTAGGGTGCCTGATAGGGCTCGGTATGAAGTGGAGAGAGGGGAAGATGCTGCTTTAGACCCAGTAGGGAACCGGTGACTTCCTTCTGCCTACTTTGAGAAGGGCAGAAAAGGGATGTGTTTGTACTAGGAGCCTTCAAGATGAAGGGAAACGCTGTCAGTTACCTCTGACATGCTACTGAAGATTTTAGAGAAGGGACCTTTAATCTCCCAAATGCTTCTTTGTGTGTCTCTTCTCACCAGGAGTAGAAGAACCCAGTCTTTCACTGGTTGCTGCTGCAGTATCCTTGCCTCGCTTCGCGGTGTAGCTTCGGCACCTACTGCTTGGGGCAGAGGCTGTGTTAGAACAGTATTCTGGTGCTGCTGGTAAGAGCAGGCAAAGAAGAGCAAGGAAGTTGCCTGTGACTGATCAGAGAGTGGTTAACCAACGTGCTGTGTTTGTATCAGAGCAGTGTGTGTTTGTTGTCTTGACCAAGGAGAACAGAGTTTGACTTTTACCAAATATTGTATGTATGTTTAAAAAATTTAGGAAAGTTTAGAACCTAGAACATCTTCATTCAAAATAAGCACCCCAAATACTATAGCTCAGTTGTTATCCTTAACTTCCAAAGAGGTCAGAGCATGCTGCTGCTCTTCCTTCTCTCTTCCCTTTTCAAAAATCAAACTGCTTATAAGTAATCATGATAGATGAAAGTATACATCAAAGAGTTTAAAAAAAAATAAATAAGCAAACATTGTGCTAACTATGATTTCCTCCATCTTTTCACTACTTCTCCTCTCCCTGATCGCTTCCCATTCCGATGGTTCCTGGTCTCTTGGTCACATGGAACAATGTTGTCTAATGGTTCTTTCCCTCGATTCTTTTCCAAAGACAAGCAAAACGGCTACTGGGGCAGATTGTAGATCGCTGTCGGAACGGACCTGGTTTTCACAACGATGTTGATGGCAACAGTACGATTCAGGAGATTTTGATCCCGGCATCCAAAGTGGGTCTAGTCATCGGCAAAGGAGGTGAAACAATAAAACAGTTGCAGGTGCGCAAGATGCATTTACTTTAGGGCTGTCTTCTCTACTGCAGCTTCTCTAGATCAACAAGAGCGTGCTGAAATGGAGAGCCTTAAATGCTCTAACCTTCTACAGCAGGGACTACTCTTCTGCCTTCGGAGAGCTGGACTCCAGTCCTATCTTGTGTTACAAACAAAATCGGTTTGGCCTCAGCTACGCATGTAGTGGAGTTTTGCCAGAACTGTGAAAGAAACTCATGTGCTTTAGATAACATTTGGTGCGTGCTGTTTAGGAGGGGATCTGTGTAGCCAAGAAAAGGCTATGTCTAGTCTGCTGTTGCAATAGTTTTTAATGCTAGCCATGCTGTTGTAGAGTGCTGTGCTTCTCTTTTGTTGCTGATCTGTGATAAAGCTGGCGTATGTTGTCTCTTTTTTTTTTTCTCATCCCACGCCTTTCTAATTGAAAGTGTTGTGTAATGTATAAATCTATGTTCCTAGACATTCTTTATTCCTCCATCTGGTACAGGATTTTTTAAAGAATAGAGGGTTTCAGAAAAGCACCTAGATCAAAAATGTAGGGTTTTTGAGTGCCCTGATTAGGCCTCTGTCGCCCAGTAGCTTTAAGGCTGGTCAGTTAATAACTATTATATGCAGACAGCTACAGATTTTGGAAAGGGCTGAAAAATCAGTTGTTGAAGGTCTTGCAAAGACAACCCTTCTACCTCAACTATTTGAGAACTTCAGGAGCAGCACACTTTCTGGCAGTCCTTTACACTCTAAGACTATTACTGAATTTGTGCTATAACTACCCATGAAGAGCTAAAGTAGCATTCTGTAAAGCTGCGGATTTGACCTGCGTAATGTTTAGTAACCACAATATAGTCACTTGTTTTAGGGACTCTGCTTAGCAAAGTGCTCTGTGCTTTTTCTTCAGGAGCGAACAGGTGTGAAAATGATTATGATCCAAGATGGTCCATTGCCTACTGGAGCAGATAAACCTCTCCGAATTACTGGAGATGCATTTAAAGTACAGGTATGTAATAAAAGTAAGCAGTTGCCCCAGAGAACTAAGGAGAAATTTAAACTTTAGTATATTTATGAGCATCTAATGGAGTCAAATCCAACTGTAAATATAATGATCCTTGCTGGTTTTGTTTGTTCTGTAAGGTGGTTGAAGTTTGAGTAGAGCAAGTTAAAACACCAGAATAGCAAGTTTTGGCTTGTTTACAACATAACCTAGGAGCTCTCACTCCACATAGGTATTAGACATGGGTAGGAGAAGACCTGAGGAGGAGGGTTTGGAGAAAGTAGTTTGAAATGCTTTCCTGTCTGTGTGGCAAAAAAAAATCATAGCTTCTATGTTACTTGAGCAACTGGGTTCTTAGTGACTAACTTAATCACACTCTGGAGAAAGTTTTGTGGAAGGTTCACTATCTCAGACAGCCAATCGACGCAGGTAATTAAAAAATAAAAATAAAAAAATCCCATGACAACTCCTGAAACCAAGGGGTTTGCTTCATATTAGTACCTCAGTCTCCTTGTGTCAGGGTTCTACAGATACATTCATACCTGCGGTCAAAGTAAAAACCCATGATCAGCTGGACACTGGAAGATGGCAGCATGATGGGAATGCTTGAATTAAAGTTTAGCTGTGGCATGTTCCACTTCTCAGCAAGTGCTTTTCATACCTTGCTAAGTACTTAAATCTAGTTTAGCATTCCTGTCTCTAATAAAAATAGTTCTATTTCATAGGATCTCCCTAATCATAAATTGCTGCAACAGTTGATGTTGCTCAGAAATAGTATGTTTGGGTTGTATTTTTTAAACCTCTTGTTGCAAATGGGCTTTTAGATATTAATTTTTTTTTCAAAATTATTATTGTAGAGGTATAGATATGCAAAAAGGAGTTTAATGGCGTTCTTGCTACTTTTAACCAAATCATACTTTAGGTGCTGCTACTTCCCAGGTGGCTGCTTCTGCCTTGCTGTTGTCACGTCTTCCGTGCAATAAATTGTGCCAAGCAGTCATGGAGACTGCATAGGCTGGAAGATCTTTGAGGCACTTAGAAAAGTTGAACACACTTAGAAAGCATTTAAGAGTCTTGATGAATCCTTGGGTTTGGTGGGATTCTCTGGATGCTGCAGCAGCGTTTCTTAACTCTCAAATCGCTATGAAATCTCTCCATTGCCCTCCTTTCTGTCTTGGCATCTCTGAAATGTCCGAGTTGTTTCCTTCTGTAAAAACTACCATGGGGTTATGGAAAATACGTAAAAATGCAAAAGGAGTCAGATTCACCAGTGTCCCTCAGAGTTGGAGATAGAAGCAAAATGTCAAAAGTTTGACTGGTAATATGTAGAAACAAAGGCTTTGGTTTTGACATGTAAGCTTTTTTTAATGATGACTGCTGTTGGTTTATTTCCAAAGTACACTTTTACTAGCTGGGCTACATGCAAGCTTGTGAATGGCCTTGAGGGCTGCAAGTAGGTAGAAGAAATATTCATTTGTCTCAGAAAATGTGTTACTGGTTTGCTGCAGACTTGAGCTTAACTTTTCTGAGTGTCAATAAGCTCACTAGTGCCCACCTGCCTCCTTGGTACATGCTTTCTAGCTCTTAGTGGACGTGATCTCTGCTATGCTACCACAACTTCTACCTTACTGTATTGGTTTCAATTCTATCTAGTAGGAAAGGGCTTTCACTTCCTTTGATTTAAAAACAAAACCGAAATTAAAGATATTATAAAAGCTAAGGGGCCTTTTTGAAAGACTGAAGGAAGCAATTGCACACAAGAAACTGCCACCTTGCACACTTGTCAGGTTTTGTCAGACATGGAAGATGCCATCAAGAACAGATCTCCATTGACTGTGGTAAAAGAAATTCTAAATCAGAATGCTGTTTCCATTAAGCAGATGGAGATCGCTCTGCCTGAAACCTGACCATTAGCCGATGTTGAGGCCTTGACACCAAGATGGCAAGCAGAATAATTTTAAGCTAACTGTAACTTCTTTCCCCATGTAGCAAGCGAGGGAAATGGTACTGGAGATCATCCGAGAGAAAGATCAGGCAGACTTCCGAGGCGTACGCAATGATTTCAGTTCTAGAATGGGAGGAGGCAGCATAGAGGTATGTTTTCTTCACGAGTACTCTGCTAACCTCCCTGTGGGATGGGTAGTGGGTGGAAGTCATCAAATTGCACGTAACCTGTAAGCTTATTTTTAAATGTATTGTGTTCTTTTGCCAGAAGAGCAAGTCTGGTGGCAAAGAAGAGGAGTTCTCTTGGACTCCCAGATGGCACTTTTGTAATTGTCTTTTTAAGCTGCATTCTTGTAGTGCAGAGTTCATTTAGTGGGGAAGGAATTTGTGGCCACATGTTTGTTTTTCTTAAGCAATATGGTTCTGTAGCCTGGAGCTGCCTAACGTGGCCTGTCCTCATAGTTAAGAGCATCGCCTTGTAAAATCAGAGTAATTCAGTCTAGTTCTCTGAGCTTTCATACTGCTTTGCCTTTCCCATCAGGTCTCTGTGCCCAGGTTTGCTGTTGGAATTGTGATAGGAAGAAATGGAGAAATGATCAAAAAGATTCAGAATGATGCTGGAGTTAGGATTCAATTTAAACCAGGTTTGTGTGAGGATGGAGAGCCTTTACTTTCTGACCAGTGTTCCAGTTTGGGATTGCTAAAGTGAATCTGATCTGAGGTTACAGTAGCTAGGCTTTCCTAATTTAAAGGTGCATTTTGTCTCCTTCTGAAACCCATTGAAATATGATGTGCTGCTTCCTCATGCACTTTCTCGTTTTCAGAGAGTAAGATTATATACAACTCATGTGCAAACATTAGATGTCACAACAGTCACGTCTTGAGTGGTAATTATATGGATAAACAGAATAACAATAACCAAAAACCTTTTACTTCCTAATAAAGAATTCTTCTTCAGGACATTAAAGCCTTTGGGGATCAGGAGTTGATTAATTCTAAGTAACTTTCTCTGGGTCCTTGGCTGTCTGATCACCTATCAAAGCTGCCTGTGCAAACATTAGATGTCACAACAGTCATGTCTTGAGTGGTAATTATATGGATAAACAGAATAACAATAACCAAAAACCTTTTACTTCCTAATAAAGAATTCTTCTTCAGGACATTAAAGCCTTTGGGGATCAGGAGTTGATTAATTCTAAGTAACTTTCTCTGGGTCCTTGGCTGTCTGATCACCTATCAAAGCTGCCTTTGTCCTCTTAAAATTGTATCAGTCTCTTTCATGGCTTTTTGACATTTGAAGGTGTTGCCTTTTGAATGTTGTTCCCTCTGCAATGTGGGCTGGGTTTTGTCTTCTTTCAGTCCCTGGAAGAGGGGCTGAAGGTGGAGGGAAGAGGTAGCTCCTGGGGTAGTGATGTTATGTGAAAATGCTGCTAGCAATGGTGGTGCTAGAAGGAAGCTATTGTTGGCAGGTGAATGTTTTCTCCTTTTAATTTAGTCTTTACCACCTCTCTTCACAGATGATGGGATTAGTTCTGAAAGAGTCGCACAGGTCATGGGGCTTCCCGATAGATGTCAACATGCAGCACACATCATCAGTGAGCTGATTCTCACAGCACAGGTGGGTTCTGGAGGCTCTTGGGAGGAAAGTGCTTATATGGGAATGTAGTCTGCATGTGTGCAGCTGTGTGGATGGATGCCACCATCTGAAGAACAGCAGTGTTAAATTTTCCCTCTGGTAGGCCACATGTGCTGCTGCCCAGGACAGAGCTGCAAGGTTTGGTTTTTGTTTGTTTTTGTTTTGTTTTGTTTTTTTAATGTAATATGGGCTAACTGAGCTATGGGAAGGTCCCCTATTCTCAGGCAGTATTATGAAGCCTCATTTTAGCTCCACATTTATCCTCCCCGGCCATGTTTAGTTGTTCTTAACTTACCTGGAAATGTTGATCTGGTGGAATGGAGTCTGACAGTACGTGTGAGACAGTGGCTGGAGGCTCGGCTCGGTAGGGCTGAGCAACTCTTAGACAGCAGAGCATTAGCAGTGCTTAGTGATGCCTCCTCTTCAGACTCCAGTCCTCTGGTCTCGTGGCTGTGGGAGGCAGGGGAAGGCAACAAACGCTCATGTGTGCGATCACTGTGCTCTAAGAAGGATATCAACATACTGCATTGCCCAAGAGCAAGAAGTACAAAGATGGGTGAAGCAGTAGGGCAGACTCGTGAAGGAGGTTGTATATTCCCTTTGTATTACCAGAAGAAAAGAGATGTTAGGCCACTCCAGACCAGATACCTGAGCATAATTTGTCCATCAAGGGTAGGTCTTGATATCTCTTCTTGCCCTGAGATCTGGTTTGAATGCTTGATTTCATAATTTTTTTAATAATTCACTTCAATTTTGAGGTCTGTCATGGTAGCCTCTGCTCACGGCCTTTGCTTTTGGAGAAATCAGTTACCCAAAATAGGTATGTCCTTTAAGTGTCTTTGAACTTAAAAGCTTCCTTTGAAAGTTTTGGAAAATGTGCATTTTAGCTGAGTAATTCCAGCAGTTTTTTAAAGAATGACACTTGAAAGGGTTTGGAAGCATCTTCTGTGTGTGTCCGTGCCAAGATCTATTAGTTGCTCTAAGGAAAGCCCTCATCACAAACTAAAAGTCCTTTAGTAGCTGATGCTTGTTTATGGGTTTATTTCAGCAGATACAAAGGCATGCATTTAAAAAATATAAATATCTTCCTGAGTCAGGAAGGCAACTGTAACCTACGTTACTTGGCATTTCTTTAAAGTGCTTCAAAATCTTGAATGTGAAACTGAAGTCCAAGGATATCTTGATTCAGTGCCATTGATTATAAGGCAGTTTAACTTACCTTGCTTTATTTTGTTTTTAATGTGCATTGGGACCAGCAAAAAAACACTGATACAAATTTTTTGCCTTCCAAGGAAAGAGATGGTTTTGGAAGCCTGGCTGTCACCCGAGGAAGAGGTCGTGGCCGTGGGGACTGGAGTGTTGGAACACCTGGGGGCATGCAGGAAATAACCTACACGGTGCCAGCCGATAAGTGTGGTCTTGTTATAGGCAAAGGTAGGTCCGGTGACACTAAATACTACAGCTTGCAATCTTTCTCTCTCGGGATTGTCGCATTCGTGCTGCCTGAAAACGAGGCTTTGGAGTTTTCTGTAATTGCCAGTATTTAGTGGCCGGTGAATGCAGCATAGGAATAAGCTATAAGCGCTTGTGGTGGTTTTCTTTGTGGTGCTCTCACTCATGATTGTATCCTCCAGGCCCTTGTTCACAATCTGTAAGAGAGGCTCTTCATGCAGAGCTGTCAAGTAAGCTTGTTATAACAAGCAGCTAGCTGAGAAAAAGCAGGTTCATTTGTGGATTCTTTTTATAGAGAATTAGTTTAAAAGACAGTTTATTAGTGACAAGCAGAACAGTCATTTCATCATGCTGGATTTCTGTGAGTGCCATGTGATGAAATGGAAGGTGTCTGAATGTGGTAATAACGGTAGCTGCTTGCAGCCACATACTTGAGGTGTCTGAGGAATAAAGTGAAGTAGCAGGATTTGTCTGTATCTGAGCTGGCATCTGAGCCTGTCACAGAGCAGGCTGGTGCACCTTGTCTTGCTCAGACAAGCATGTTCAGTGCCATGGAGGCCCCTTGGCTGCCTTAGCCGTTGAATCTCTCCATGCTCAGGAGTCATCTGGCCTTCCTCTCAAGAACCAATACAATCCCAAGACGGTTGTGAAACGAGAGCATCAGCAGCAGTCTCAATTTGTCATAGAGCATGAGCTATGCACCAGGTAATGACAGTACTTAGAGCCAGGAACAGAAGAGCTCTATCGCTCTGAATTGTTGCGATGCTTCTGAGTTACTACACTGACGTATCAAAGGAGTTGTATTTAATTTTTCTGTCTGCTTATTTCAGAAAGAATGACATATGCCTTAACTGGTATTTAAGTAATCACAGTTGGCTTTTAGCCTCAGCAGAGGTGAGGTGAATAGAATAGGAACAGATTAGCTACCGCGGTAAAGGAGGCAGAGACTTGAGGGCATTGTGCCATGTTTCAGTGGCATTTAGTTTCCTGCTGTCCTGTTGGGCAGGAGTGAGCTTGCGATGAAATATGTTGTGGCCTCCTTCCCCTGCTGCCCCGCCCTGCTGCATCTCACTTGTTCCCTTCCGTGTCTCTGGCCCCTGTAGCACCCTGAACTCCTGCCCTATGGGATGACAAGGGACACAGATAGGGGACACAGGCGTGTCAGCAGTGTATCTGCAATCATGTTGTTCTTTGCTGTAAACCTGTTCACAAACCTGAAAACTTTTTTCAATATGAAAAAGCACCTGCTCTCCCCATCATCCAGAAATTGCAGAGCGATTGTGCTTGATCTTACTGAACAGTCCAGTTAGGCAAACGATCGAGCGAAGCAAATTTTAAGCCCACAAGTGAGGTTTATATGTACAGCAAAATTAAATTATAATGAAACTTTATTGCTGTATCCGTTAGTCATCCTGAATAAAGGATCAGAAAAGGTCACTTGTCGTTCAGCAGTGCACTGAAGTGGAGCATTTGTGACTACAGAGAGCACTGTGTGATGAAAAGATAAATGCAGGTAGCGGTGTTGGGTGTCCTCGCATTCAAGTGCAAGGCCTGGCACAGGCTCGCTGTGGGGGTGAAGAGTAGCTTTTTACCTTTGTTTCCACAACAGCAAAATAAGGATTCTTACCCAGCCAGATCAGAAGCTTTCTGGAGTGACTAATTACTAGTTGTATGGTGATTTGAGTGCTTGTAGCTTTGTAATACTACCTTGTAATCGGTGTTCTTACAGTGCCTATGCTCTTAGTCTATTGCAGCCTTCATTTTTGTTGAGTGAGTGATGGCTGTAGCATTGCCTTTTGGGCCTGGACCACAATGAATGTACTACGCTCTCCATGCGTTGATGCAGGACACCTGATTGTTCTTATTTTCTATCCCACTGCCGGTGGGGCGGTGTAGGGGAGAGGGGATGTTAGTGGGGTTTTCTTAACAGTGACCAATTGTAAGACCTTTTTTCCTCCCTTTTAGCTTCTGAGCAGTTTCCAGCCTTTTTTTTTTGTCCCTGCTGTGATACAGGACTTGGCTGTTAGCCTTCTCTGTAAAATCTGGCCCAGTCCTCTGGGCACACGTAGCTTGGTCTCTGGGGTTAGCACCCAGGCAGTGGGTATCTTGGGCCCCCGGGTGTAGTGCATGTCCTATGGCCAGGTAACTGCTGCTGTGCTTCCAGCTCCATGTCACGACTCAAGAAGGGGAGAAAGGGAGATGAGGAGGTTTCTCAGCTCAACTTCTGCAGTATATATGATAGAAGATCTTGTCCTTTTCTCTTGGGCATCACTTCTTAGCTTGGGAGTGTGAGCTTTTATGAATTGATAAGAAGTGCTCGGTTCCCTGCAAATCCTCTGCGTAGCTTTTTCCTCTAGAGGGTGGGTAGGTGCAGCTTTTCTTTTCTGAAAGACTGGAAGAAGGGTGGAGACGAGCGCCATACACATGTCAAGTGCTTTCTCTGTTTGGTGGTGCTTGGAAACAAACCGCAGCCTCTCTGGGCCCCCGCTGGATTTCCATGATAAATACAGCAATATTGACAGATAACGTGGCCGGCCTGGCTCTTGTCAGCTCTGCCTTTTAGCAGGTTTGATTAATTGCTTTACGATTTCACGTCCAGCTGGGGGGCCACTCTTGGATCACTTCTGCCCCCCATCAGGTAGAAGAATGGAGCGGGCTGCTGAATGTGTCTATAGACAGCCACCATGTGCCGAGCGGGTCACCTCATTATGGGGGAAGATGAACTCCTTCCGGCACCGTGCAGCATCATGTTGACTGCGTCACTTCATTTGCATGCTCTGAAGGCTGAATTGGGATAGCTTGGATGGGAGGGAGCGCTTTGACTTGTGCCACACTGGAGGCTAAGGAGGAGAAGGGCATCAAGTCCTGGTACAGGGGTAGGGGCCAAACCTGGAGAGCCAACTAACTTAACCCTGCAGTATGGTTCAGGAGGGACCTGATGTGGAAACAGTCCCTACAATTGCAAACTTGGTGCTGAATGCTAAATGGGGAAATTATTTGAAATCTATATTCTCCTTGCTTCCAGTTTGAGAATGCTTCAGTTTTTAATCCCCTCTTGGAAGGAGAAACCTAGTGTGCTGTGTGAGTAGCAACCTATGGTTATGCCTCTGTCGCCCAATAAAGAAGTTCTCCCACTCCTTCATGATCCAAATTGTGTTGGCTGAAAGGGTCCTCTGTTTTCGTTAAGCAGATGAAGTGGCTGTTGATTCAGATCTCACCTCAATATGTAAAAACCAGAGCTTCAGACAAGTCTGCATCAGACAAAAGCATTACATTAAAAAAAAAAACTTCTTGGTTTTGAAACTTCATCTTACTGCTTTCCCATGCTTGACTGAAAATAAGTGGGTTGGCTTTTGGCTGCACAGTACAATCCCTGTTGTCTGCCCAGGGAGGTGACACGATTATCTTTTGTTAAATGCATCTTCAAAAATTCATTTAGAAAGAGTTAATTGCCCTTTGGCAACTTTTCCTCCTCCCTTCCCCAAGAAGGCTTTAAAATGTTAAAAAGGTCACGAGTCCATTACAATGAAATGAACAAGTGTCTGCAACATCCACAGTTTGTTTTGAAGTTGTGCTGGATGTATAGAGATGGAAATGCCAGCAAAACTGAGGACTTTATTTTTGGAGACTCTTTTTAATTAAAACCAAACAAAAAATCTCTGGTTAGTTTCTTTTGCTCTCTTTCCTGCTTGCCGTATGTCCTTTTGGCTGGTGATTTTTGCTTTGTGATTTAAAAGTTGTGAAACCTCTTCCTTCCCCCGCACCCTTTAATTTCTCCAGTTGAGTGGAGCTGGTCTCTAAGTTGTGTGAGCTTCCAAAAGAAGAATTGAACCATTGTAACATTGGCTGAGGCTTTTGTTAAGCAAATTTCATTAAGAGACTGGGACTTAGCTGGTCTTCAGGAGATCAGATCTACTTTGACTGGCCCTGCTGCATCCTGCTCGAAGCACTCCTGTGCTCTAGAGTATCCAGATGGCAAACTAGCCAGATATGTTCACTGCATGCACAACTAACTCTGAAATAGCAGAAGACAGCCTGGAGTCCTGCACTGCTACGGTTGTGCAGAGGGATGCGTATGCTGTGGTGTGAATAGGAAGCGTGGTAAGCGGAGGCTTCTTTAAGGCAATAACCTATTGAACAGCACACGATTGCAAGAAAGCTTAAGCTTTGTTTTTAAGCTACAAGGTATGTGACTGATGACTTTTTGCCTTAGTGGAATGAAATGTCCAGCGATGGGGAAGAAAAGCCTCACGGAAAAAAGAAAAAGCGTGTTTCAGTTGCAGGTTACCCTCTTTTCTTGAGGATGGTGAACAGCTGTGCGAAACCATAGGAATTCAGTCAGTACAGTTTTTGCACCTGTTTTGTCAAAGTGTACCTCAACCATGCTCCATTTTGTTGGGAGCCTAGCAATGTGCACACAGGGCGACTGTGTGTTTTCTTAAAACAGCCCAAAACCATTGCGGTAGCTCACAGTTTCAGGTCGTGCCTATGAGGCAGCTCAAAGGAACAACATGAGCTCAGGTACTGTCTTTTCTTATGCTGTTGCCGTTCTCAGCCCACCTCCCTTGAGGCACACAGAAGGTAGATGAAACTATATTCCATTACCAGAACCTGACTTTGATACGGTTTTATGGAAAGAGATGCTGTATATCCCTCCTTATGTCTTGGTTTTCTTTTCTTCAGGTGGTGAGAACATCAAGAGCATAAATCAGCAGTCGGGAGCCCATGTGGAGCTCCAGAGAAACCCACCTCCGAACACAGACCCTGGTGTACGAATATTCACAATCAGAGGAGTTCCCCAGCAAATTGAGCTCGCTAGGCATCTCATAGATGAGAAAGTTGGAGTAAGTTCCATCTCTGTTGATCGTGGTTTGTCTTTTTCAGATTGATGTTTTCACTCTTAGGTACATGTAGGCCTGGACTTTACAGGGTGGCATAGAATACACACCCTTACGTTATTCAGCTTCAAAACCATTTGCCTGTTAACAGCTGTCTTTAAACTTTGATGGCCCTCCAGCATCCATTGGACTAATTTTTGCTGTGGTCCCAGAAGGATCTGACTGCTGACATAATCATGGTTAGTGTGCAACTGTATGAGAGGGAAGAACAGCAATAATAAGGTATGAGAAGGCTGTCAAAGGAGATTTTTTGAAGGGAAGACAGTAGTGTCACTGTGTGAGAATGACATAATCCTGGCATCATCATCCTGAAAGTAACACTCGGCTCCTTGCTCCAGTAAATCCAGGATGACTTATCTTCCACGTAATGCAGCGCTGTGGTATTGAAGCTTAATAATGTCAGGCTGGAGTACTACTGAAGGGGAACACTTGGGTAAAAGAAAGTATGGAAAATACTGAACTGGGGCATGGTAAAGCTGAAAAGCAACCTTTATGCTGAATTGCTTGAGAGGAGAAGACTTGATACCAACCTCAGGGTTCAAGCTATTCAAAGGAAAACTTCCAACTGTGCCGTAGTCCTGTTAGCCCCTTTGTGGGCTGGCTGGAGCTGCTTTTGAAGCTGGGCTCCTTGAAGGGTGCTGACAGTCCTGAGAACTTCATCCTTGGAGAATCAGTCACTTCTTTCAGGTGCTGGGGTTTAGTGGAACGTGTCCCAGACTGTCTTCTCCCCTTTTTTACTGCTTATACTAGTTGCCTCCACCCTGTGCCTGGAGCTGGGATTAAATATTTGTGGATTCTTTAACAGGGTACCAGTATGGGTGGACCTGGAGGATTTGGTCAAAGTCCGTTCAGCCAAGCACCTGCTACACCTCATCAAAAGTAAGCTTCTCCATCTCATCACGGACAGGCTATGGGGAATGGCTGGGAGCTATCAAAGCATTGGGAGAAGAGTGGAGGGCCCTGAAGGGGTGATGTATAAGTGGAACCTTTCAAAGACTGAGCATTCAGAAGCAAGAAGTAAGTGAGATTAATCCTTTAAGCTTGACTACAGGAAGGATTTTATCTATTAAATTATAAACAAGGCAGGTGTCGGCATCTCCAGAATTCCTGTCTGTAGTGCAGTGAGAGCATGGAAAGAAGCCTGAACTGTATACAGGAGTGCTTGTCAGCACTCAAGACAAAGGTCTTGGCTTCATGAACAAACCAATATCAAGACAGTTACCAGTCACACCTACACAGGGCTTCCTTTTGTTCCCATGTTCGCCTCTTTGCTCAGCAGTTGCTGACTATAAGTAACAGTTTCGATTCAGAGGGCAGCTTCATGTATATGCCCTGTTATGTATTTTATTGTCTACTTCAGCATGCCTTTTTGTCCTCTGCAGTGGTCCTCAGGCGTTCATGACGCAGGGTTGGGGCAGTACCTACCAGACATGGCAGCAGCCTGGACAGCAAGTCCCAAGTAAGTGTCTAGGGACCTGGGTTGGAGAAGGGTTGGTGTTCCTTTTCCAATTCCTGCTTCATGCCTGCATGACACGGGTTCGCCCGTAAGACCACTTGTGTGAAAACAGCGAAATAATTTCCTGAGCAGAAGAGGTGTGTGGAGGCGTGTGTTTGAGCTCAGAGTAAGTTGAAGTCCATCGAAAACTGTAACACTTTTTGTGTGTTTAACTGCTTACTACCTGTTTCTGCTCTCTTTGTGTAGAAACTTGGTCCTTGCTGTCTGTTCCTCTCTAACAAAAATGTTTCTGCCTTTAGGCTCTCTTCTGCCTGGATACTCCAGGCAAGCACTTGCCAACCCCACCTCCCTCTAACAGGCACACCATGTCTGGTGGTGAGCCCTCTCGTCTCTTTGTTCTTGACCTTCTCCGTTCAGACTCACTTTATTTTTTTTAAATGTTCCTTATGAGTTCTTCTCACTATTGAATGCCCAGTCTGATGGAAAGACTGGGAGAGGAGATGCAGGAAATGGAAGAAAGGATAGAGAGGGCTCCTATCCTGGTTCATCCACACTGGCTGTAGTAGTGTCCCCTTGTCTCCTTTTGGGAGTTGATGAGAACTGCTCAGCCTCCACAGTGCTAAATGCTCAGAATGAGGCCAGCAGGATAACCGGCTTTCAAATAAATAGTAAAAAACCCCCAATGCTTACATTTCTTTAGTCATGAGTTCAAAAACTGAACACAGATCACCCCTGCTGCTGAGATTTCCACTTCAAGCCACCAGCGCTGAGTCAGGCTGGCTGTTAGCCTTCAAGGTTCAAAGTGTCATTTCTTCCGAAAAGCCTGTTTAGTCAAAATTCAGCAGATTGGAATGGGGAGTCCCCCTTTTCAGAATAATTGAAGTAGTAAGTGCTAGTGGTGATGTTGATAACTGCATCGTCCTGTGTCTTCAACAGCCAGAGTAATGGTTTGCCCTAAAACCAAGCAGATTCATAGTCTGCTTGGTAATCTCAAAGTTCATGCGATGGGCAGTAATGTCCAACAGACACTTTTCAATCACAATTTTGCAGGAAATACAAGTTTTTTAATGGCCTGGTCTTGTAAAAACCTAAAGCTAACCACCAAACTGCGTGTGTGAAGGGATTGTAATTTTAAAGGACTTTAATGACAGGTGCTTTTCAGTGCTAAGGCTGATTTAGCAATGAAGTAGATTATTAACTTCAGTATCAGTTCCCAGTCTTTGAGATGCCTGAGGTAGAGGAAACATTGGAGGAGCAACGCCTGCAATTGCACTTGTGATTCCCTGTTACACTAATGACTTATATGCACAATTTAATAAACATTAATGAAATTTGGAAAACCTTAATGCTGCATTGTTAATTTAGTGCACTTCTAAAACGTGTGCTACAGTAGGACATAGGAACCTTGCATGGGAAATGTGTGTTAAAAAAAAAAAGAGGCACCTCTGGAAGAGTCCTGCTCCTTAGCAATTAAAGTCTAAAAATCATGACTTTTCCTTTGAGCTCTAGGGACTTGTAGAAGGTCTAGAAGTTGTTCTGTTTTCAGGACAGCAAAGTGCAATGATGAGCTAGAAAGGACTTTTTTTTGTGTGTGTAGGAGTGGAATAGTATGGTACTGAAGAAAAGTATTTTCCCATTAACAATTTTTCCTGTAAAACAAGCTGTTCCAGTCCTTTCCTGTGCACCCCCAAAAGCACTGAACTTCCATGAGCTTTGGGAAGCAGAGCAGTCAGTGCAGCAGGGACAGCTCGACAAAAAATGCAATTTTTGTCTTCCCATAAAGCCTTTCAATAAATACTTATGAAATGTGCATTGCTATTTGCCTTGCAAGATGCCTTTAGAAACTCACCTTAGTAACTTATCTTCGTTCTCACCTCCCTGAAACATCCTCTTATCCTGCCCACCACCAACCAGAAAAAAAATCATCTCCCTTCTTGCAACATACAGTCATGTCTCAAGCTCACACCTCCTGGCTTTGGAGCCTGGTATAAAGAACGCAGACCTTTTGAATCCCCTGATTACCAGTAGTGCAGCTTGTATCCCAGTGATGACTGCTTTGCAATGAGTTTGTCAGGTTTCTGGTGGCTCCCAAAACCGGTGAAGCATGCTGCCTTGCCGTTATCCTTCCCCTGTATGGGTTTAGTAACCACCATGCCATGGTTTTGGGGCAGATGTTTTATTTCTGCTGTTGAACCTGATGGAAAATGTTCACTCTCTAGTTCTATGTCTACTTAGGATCCTCTGTCGTGTTTGTAGCCAGGCATACTGAAGGCAGTCTCGGTAAGGAGGGAGGACAGACAAGATAATGCTGTGCTTTAAGCAGCCTTCACCGCTTTCTTCTGCTGCAGATGACAGCGGTACCCAGTCAGGCTAGGTGAAGTTCACCAAGGTATGGGAGGATTATTACAAGAAACTAGGTAAATACCTGCTTTTGCACTTTAATTTTTAATTTGAAAACAGCCTTGTGAAGGGTCCCTTCCCCGAGTGCTGCAGCCTGTTTGTTCGTGGCTCTGTTAGCCCTGTCAAAGAGCCAGCTGAGTCGTTCTCCGAGCAGGCTTCTTAGGGACAGGCTCGAGAGTGCCCTCCTTGTGGGAGGAGGGGCAGACCCCCACCCCCTACACATGTATTTAGATTTTAATTACTTCCCCCATCTTAAATAAATTAACTGGCTGGGGAAACATTTTGCTGTGAAATGCATTTAGCTGCGTGTCCTTTCAGCCTGCTGCGGACTGTAATTCTCCTAGAAGAAAAGGCATTGAAGGAGGTCCTTTGTTGGCATTAGCAGGTGGACAGTTGAGGCAGCCTTGACCTCTGCCAGAAAAGGTCCTGACTTGTAGCGTTGGTCAAGTCTTTTAACCCGCTTTTATGCCCCTGGACAGGACGCTGCTGCCCTGTTCCCTCCACCCACTTCACACTCGCAGTGTATTATTTTCCCCCTTCCCCCCACTTCAAAGCCCCCCTTCGGCCGGCGTCACGGGGCAGGGCTGTACATGGAGCACAGGCGGTTGGGTGGGCTGGGAAGAGCTCTCCTCCACCCGTGTCTCCTGGCCTCGCCTGCTGTCCGTGTGTGTAGCGGCTGTGCTCAGCACTCTTGCTCTGCCTGCCTCTCTCTGCAGTTTTCTAATTGCTGTGTTTTCCGTTCAGGGCTTTTTTTTTTTGTTTGCTGTGTGTCTCAGTGAGGGCTCTTTGCTCTAACTGTGGCTAAGGGAAGTGCGGGCATCCCGGCCCTGCAGCCAGCTGGCCGGACTGCCCTCTGCCATAGCACTTAGACATGCTGGATTGAAGGGGTCTTGGTGCTTCAAAGAGGGGAAGTCTGTGCTAGGTGAAGACCAAGGTTTTAGGGTCTGCAAGCGGCGCAGGCATTGGCACCGCTTATCTTAGCGCAGTGCAGAGGTCCGGAGACCGTACCACAGAGCCAGTCGTGGCTGTTAGGA